TCACACTGAATTGCACACACAAAGTGCATGCGCCCCAAATCTGAAAAATGCACCGCCCCAAATCGCATGGTGCTATGGTACCAATCAGGGGCGGACTGACCATTTGGAAACTCGGGCACTGACTGAGGGCCCGGGGTCAGTAGGGGGCCCCATGAGATGCCCCTGGTACCTTTTTCATAGACTTTTTTGAGTTTGGGCAAGGACACAGGGGCCCCATGATCCCTTATTGCCCGGGGGCCCCATGAGTTGTCAGTCCGCCCCTGGTACCAATACAACTGGTTCCTGCAACAGTGCGCTGCGTTTGTGAGCTGCGTTCTGGTGTGAACCGGACCTGGGTTTTTTTCACACTAATACAGTTTTGATTTGATGCATTTCTGTAGTGCTTTTGTGGTATTTTGCGTTTTTGCACATTATTTATGCGTTTTCGATGCATTTTGCATTTTTTTGGGGGGGGCAGGGGCCCTTTAAGGGTTTCAGAAGTCGGGAGGGGGGGGGTTTTGACAAGTTTGTGTGACCCCCGTGATTCGCCGTCACGGGCGGTCACATGATCGGGAAAGGTCCAGATCGATAGAGGAGATCGGGACCAGGGGCAAACTGACAACTCATGGGGCCCCCAGGCAATATGAAATCATGGGGCCCTAGTGTCCTCGCCCACACTCAAACCACACCCAAAAAAGCCTATGAAAGGTACCAGGGGCATCTCATGGGGCCCCCTACGGACCCCAGGCCCTTGGGCAGTGCTCAAGTGGCTAAATGGTCAGTCTGCCCCTAGGGGCAGTTGGCAACTTGTTGCTGGGCAGATTAAGACATCAGTGCAGGGGCGGACTGACAGCTCATGGGCCCCCCGGGCAATTGGGGATCACGGGGCCCCTGTGTCCTTGCCCAAACTCAAAAAAGCCTATGAAAAAGGTACCAGGGGCATCCCATGGGGCCCCCTACTGACCCCGGGCCCTCGGGCAGTGCCCGAGTTTCCAAATGGTCAGTCCGCCCCTGCTTCAGTGTCTTAACGTGCGATTTGGTGCAGCTGCAATTTCTAAAGTAGTTCTCGCATTACTTTTCCACAGTTTTGTTGTTCTTTCACAGACATAGAATATTATGGAAATCGCTCTGCAAATTGTAAGAAATCATTAAAAAATCTTCACAAGCAGGGGCGGACTGACAACTCATGGGGCCCCCGGGCAATAGGGGATCATGGGGCCCCTGTGTCCTCACCCAAACTCAAACCACACCCAAAAAAGCCTATGAAAAAGGTACCAGGGGCATCTCATGGGGCCCCCTACTGACCCCGGGCCCTTGGGGAGTTCCCAAATGGTCATTCCGCCCCTGTTCACAAGTAGCAATAAAGTCCTCAGAAATCGCACCTGAAATCGCGATGAAATTGCACACAAATTGCTTGATTTGAAATCACAGCGTTGTGACGGGTGACTAAAGGTAGGTTCACACTTATGCAGGTTGCGTTTGAGCCGTTTTCTGCATTGCGTTTTGCGTTGCATTTTGCATTTTTGAAGCATTTTGTTTTTTTTGTTTTTTTTTTCTTGTTGCTAGGCAGATTTAAAATGCAAAAAAAGCATCAATGACGCATCAAAAATTCAGTAAAAACGCAATACATGCTTTTCTGCAGCGTTTCCATTGAAGTCTATAGAATCAAAACGCAACTTTTTGCGTTCAAAAAAGTTCCTGACCCTTTCCAAAAATCGCACCGGGTGAAAACGCCTAGATTTTGAACGTGTCTCATAGGAAATCATGTTCAATGGACTGTACTGCGTTTCTGCAAAATACAAATCGCTGCGGAAAATGCTTAGGTGTGAATCTAGGGTAAGGCTCGGTTCATATCTGTGCGGGTGGTGCCACTGCGGGACCCGCACAAATACCTGCAGCCGCACCACCCACACAGAGGAATGCCGGACCTGCAGGCGGGTGCCATTAATTCTAATGGCACGCCGCCCGCACTGGGAATTGCAACCGTACTGGGAACCTAGGTTCCCATGCAGGCTGCGATTTCCCAAGTAGTGCAGGGATTTCTTCCCTGCGTGTCCTGGGACACTGGAATCCATTCAAATGAATGGGCTCTCGTGCCCGCACAAATCGTGGTCCACACGGGCACACATATGTGAACCAGGGGTTGGATAACGCAGATTCCTGCAGCATTTAGTAAAGGAATCAGATGCGATTCCTTGCGGCATTACATAGTTACCCAAGTGATGGAGTCGCTTTGATTGGAACTCAGTTTGGCTCTCTCTTTTATTAATAACTGGATATAATGAATATGTAAATGTGGTATTTTATATAAACCCTCTAAAGACGCTAAAGGTTATAAAGAAAAAAAAAATCCCCACTAATTCCTACCTGCTGCGACTTTGGAAATGATTCTGTGCCTGCGGACGTACCTGCTTTGGCAAAAAAAAAACGATACTGACTATTCCGCGTGGATTTCCTGAGAACAATATCGCAAAATGAATTTAACTACATGCCGCCCAGCCACTGTACATATACGGCGGCAGGGCGGCCCTCGCAGGCAAAACCACGTTTTAAAACGTGTGTTTTGTAAACAATTAGGGGGCGTGCGTGAGGCGCCCTATCTGTCCCGCGGATCACCGCCGCAGATGTCAGTCGCCGGGTCACAGCCGCTCCTTAGCGGCTATCTCCCGGCGATCGGCGGCAAACAGTGACAGACAGCACACCTGCAGTAGCTGTGCTGTCTGTCACTTCCCTGTCAGCTCGAGGATGAGCTGATCGAGAAAGAACAGTTTCTCTTTCTCGATCAGCCTTGTCCCGCCCAGTACACACCCCCGCCCCCTAGTAAAACACTCCCCTCACTCCTATAACCCTTCCCTGCAAAATAAAGTTAACCCCTTCCTCCCCATTGCCATTAGTACAGTGTCAGTGGATTTTTTTTTGCACTGATCACTGTATTAGTGTTTTTGGGGATGTCAGTGACCTCAAGTCAGTACCCCCCAATGTCAGAATGTCCGCCGCAGTCCCGCCATAAGTCCCCCCTAAAAATCCCAGTATCTTTACCGCCATTTGTAAACGCTATAACTTTCACGTAAACCAATTAATTTACACGTATTGGGGTTTTTTTTAGCAAAGACATGTCGCAGCAGAATGCATTTTGGCAGAAATTTATTACTAAATTTGATTTTTGCATTTTTTTTTACTGGACATGTTTTATAGCAAAAAGTCCAAAATATTGTTTTTTTTCCTCAAAATTGTCAGCCTTTTTTTTTTATAGCGCAAAAAATAAAAACCGCACAGGCGATCAAATACCAAGAAAGAAAGCTCTATTTGTGAGAAAAAAAGGATGTAAATTCATTTATGTACCATATTGCATGACCGTGCAATTGTCCGTTAAACTAGCGCAGCGCTGTATAGCAGAAAAATGGTGTAAATTGCAGTATCTATACCATAGTTTGTAGACGCTATAACTGTCACACAAAGCAATCAATATACACTTATTGGGATTTTTTTTTACCAAAAACATGGAGCAGAATACATTTTGGCCTAAATTTATATACCAACTTCGAGTTTACTATATATTTTTTATAGCTGAAAGTAAAAAATATCGTTTTTCTCTTCAAAATTTTTGGCCTTTTTTTGTTTATAGCGTGAAAAAAAAAAAAAACCCACAGGTGATCAAATTACACCGAAAGAAAGCTCTATTTGTGTGAAAAAAAGGACATAAATTTTGTTTGGGTGCAGCATTGCATGACCGCGCAATTATCAGTTGAATTAGTGCAGCGCCGAGTAGCAAAAAGAGGCCTGGTCATTAAGGGGGTAAATCCTCTGGAGCTCAAGTGGTTAAAGCTGAACCCTGAGATCTGCAAATATTGTGTAAATACATTCATCCTGTGTATTCTGCCTTGAGCCTAGGTTCACGCTGATGCAATGTGGGAAATGTGCGTTTCCCACACCGCATTAAAATCACACAGCGTTCATGCATTTCTGCTGCGAGTGTCACTGCTAAATTAACGACACCCCCGAAACAGCGATTTCTAAAATCGGATCGCATGGGCATTCACACCCATGCTATCGGATTCAGGTGCGGCAATAAAAAGGGTTTTGATGCAGATGCGCGGTGCGATTTGAGCCATACAAAATGAATGGCTCAAATCGCACCGTACAGACATCGCATGTGATGTGCACAGGAAGGTGGTGTGATTCCTGTGTGAACCACATGAGGTGTTCCGCACCGCACAAGTGTGAACGCAGGCTGAAGGCTGATGCTTTCCCTCCACTGCATTCAAATGCACTGCTCATGCGATCCGCAAGCGGTCAACAATGTATTGTTAAAGTGTTACTAAACCCACAACAGTACAATCAGTCTGTATATGCAGTAAAGCATGCTGGTTATACTCACTGTGGAACCTAAGGGTTTAATTCTCTGCATTGTGTAAAACACTGTTTGATCCTGTCTTCTCTGATCCTCCCCTTCTTCCAGTGCCCCCCTCTTATCTCCTGATAAGGCATATCGTGTGGAGACACTTTGCACATGCTCAGTTTGGTGTGTATTGCTAGAGAGGTTTTTTTTTTTTTTCTTGGGAGAGTGCATGTGATCAGCACAGGGCCAATCAGCACTGCCCAGACAGAGGCCAGGGGTTCTTCATCCTCCTACAGCAAAATGAAAACTTCTCCTGCAAGCTGTAACCAGTGCTCTGCTGGACACTGATAGAAGTCACAAGACTGCTCTAACTGCTGATGAGAAAAAGTATTTAGCAGTTTATATTTATTAAAACAATTGCACTTCCATGTTGTGTGTTCTGTGGGAGACCAGATAAGTGAATGCAGGGTCCGGGGAGACCAGATATAGTGAATGCAGGGTCCGGGAGACCGGATATAGTGAATGCAGGGTCCTGGGTTTAGACCAGATATAGTGAATTGCAGGGTCCGGGGAGACCGGATATAGTGAATGCAGGGTCCGGGGAGACCGGATATAGTGAATGCAGGGTCCGGGGAGAGACCGGATATAGTGAATGCAGGGGTCCGGGGAGACTGGATATAGTGAATGCAGGTCCCGGGAGACCGGATATGGTGAATGCAGGGTCCGGGGAGACCGGATATGGTGAATGCAGGGTCCGGGGAGACCGGATATGGTGAATGCAGGGTCCGGGGAACCAGATATAGTGAATGCAGGGTCCGGGGAGAGCGGATATAGTGAATGCAGGGTCAGTGGGAGACCGGATATAGTGAATGCAGGGTCCGGGGAGACCAGATATAGTGAATGCGGGGTCCGGGGAGACCGGATATATGAATGCGGGGTCCGGGGAGACCGGATATAGTGAATGCAGGGTCCGGGGAGACCAATATAGTGAATGCAGGGTTCGGGGAGAGCTGATATAGTGAATGCAGGGTCCTATGGGAGACCAGATATAGTGAATGCAGGATCCGGGGAGACCGATATATGAATGCAGGTCCGGGAGACCGAATATAAGTGAATGCAGGTCCGGGAGACCGGATATAGTGAATGCAGGGTCCGGGGAGAGCGGATATAGTGAATGCAGGGTCCTGGGAGAGCGGATATAGTGAATGCAGGTCCGGGGAGACCGGTATATAGCGAATGCAGGTCCGGGGAGACCGGATATAGTAATTTAGGGTCCGGGAGACCAGATATAGTGAATTGCAGGGTCTGGGGAAGCTGATATAGTGAATGCAGGTCCTGGGAGACCGGATATAGTGAATGCATGTTCCTGGGAGACCGAATATAGTGAATGCAGGGTCCGGGGAGACCGGATTATAGTGAATGCATGGTCCGGGGAGACCGAATATATAGTGAATGCAGGTCCAGGGAGACCGGATATAGCGAATGCAGGGTCCAGGGAGACCAGAATATAGTGAATGCAGGGTCCGGGGAGACCAGATATAGTGAATGCAGGGTCCTGGGAGACCGACATAGTGACTGCAGAGTCCTGTGTTTAGTGACACTTTAATGGCACCCCAAACGCACATCGTAAACGCAGGAACCTAATCACATAGTACCACAGTTGCATGTGGTTTAGTGTAAGTGCATTTTTTTAACATTTTTTGCGTTACGGCGCTGCGTTACTTTAGCTGACAATTGCTCGGATCATGCGCTCGCTGCTGCTGAAATTGATGTCCTTTTTTCCCACAAATAAAACTTTCTTTCGCGTGGTATTTGATCGCCTCTGTGGGGTTCTTTTTTTTTTTGTGCACTATAAAAAAAAAAGACTGAAAGTTTAGAAAAAAACCCCAAAACAATATTTTTTAGTTTTTGCTATAAAACATATCCATAAAAAAATCAAGTGGTTAACCAAGATGGCTTTTCCGAGGCTTGGCAATCTTAGCCGCATGTCTTAAGCAACCAAAAGATGGTTCGAATCCCGACCAAGTTCAGGCTGATTGTACCCAATTCAATTGTTGTATGACCACCTATTTGAGTTTTTCGTTTTTATTGCCGCTGAGCAATAATCACGGTGTAACTCTCCAATCACGCCCCCACGTACCGCGCCTCCGTGCCAGGAGAACACAATAACTCCGCGCGGATGGATTCTCCCATTAACACATCTATGGACGGCTTTAGAAAATCAAGAATCCAAGAATGAAGCTTTAAAGTTTGATGGGGGTAGTGTCCTATGGATGAAATCTCAACAAACGTAACTAAGAATTACTTTTTTAGATTCCACCTATAACTGAAAGATAAAGTCTGTAGAGTCTTTCATTCACCATTTTTACCATACGCTTCAGTGGGCGGCCACCCGATCGTTTCCCTGCAGTCCCATTGTACTAAGATCACCCGTAATCCAAAGGTCAGTGCTGTGCTGTGGATTTCTCATGATTGGAGCTCATTTTGGAACAATGGCAATCATGAAGGCCATCAACATTTATACAAGGCGCAAGACTACGGAGGATTGATGTCAGGTTGGGGGATGGCGGTGGGGGGCCTTGATATGTGGGAGCTCCCAAAGAGAGAGTACTATGCAGCATTATACCGTGCAGGAGATAGGAACCTTCTAGAACAGAGGTCTCCAAATTTTCTAAACAAAGGGCCAATTTACTTTCTTTAAACATTAGAGGGGCCAAACTATGGCAAATGAAAACTGTCCTGATGTCAGTAAGAAATTCGCCATCATTGGTATCAGTGGAGGAATAGTGGCCCCATCATTGGGGATCAGTGGAGGAATAGTGCCCCATCATTGGTATCAGTGGAAGGAATAGTGCTCCATCATTGGTATTAGTGGGAGGAATAAGTGTCCCATCATTGGTATCAGTGGGAGGAATAGTGCTCCATCATTGTATTAGTGGGAGAATAGTGCCCCATCATTGGTATCAGTGGGAGGAATATGCTCCATCATTGGTATCATGGGAGGAATAGTGCCCCATCATTGGGTCATCAGTGGGAGGAATATGTCCCATCATTGGTATCAGTGGGAGGAATAGTGCCCCATCATTGGTATCAGTGGAGGAATAGTGCCCCGCATCATTGGTATCAGTTTCAATGGGAGGAATAGTGCCCCATCATGGATGTATCAAGTGGGAGGAATAGTGCTCCATCATTGGTAATTATGTTGGAGAATAGTGCCCCATCATTGGTGTCAGTGGGAGGGAATAGTGTCCCATCATTGGTATCAGTGGAGGAATAGTGCTCGCTCCATCATTGGTATCATGGAGGAATAGTGCCCCAATACATTGTATCAGTGGAGGTAATAGTGCTCCATCATTGGTAATTAGTGGGAGAATAGTGCCCCATCATTGGTATCAGTGGGAGGAATAGTGCCCCATCATTGGTATCAGTGAGAGGAATAGTGCCCCATCAGTGGTATCAGTGAGAGAATAGTGCCCCATCACTGGTATCAGTGGAGGAATAGTGCCCCATCATTGGATATCAGTGGAGGAATAGTGCTCCCATCATTGGTATCAGTGGGATGAATAGTGCCCCATCATTGTATCAGCGGGAGGAATAGTGGCCCATGATTGGTAATCAGTGGAGGAATAGTGCCCCATCATTGTTTCAGTGGAAGGAATAGTGCCCATGATTGGTATCAGTGGAGGAATAGTGCTCCATCATTGGTAGCAGTTGGTTGAATAGTGCCCCATCATTGGGTAATCAGTGGGAAGAATAGTGCCCCATCATTGGTGTCCAGTGGGAGGAATAGTGCCCCATCATTGGTATCAGTGGGAGGAATAGTGCCCCATCATTGGTATCAGTGGAGGAATAGTGCCCCATCATTGGTGTCAGTGGGAGGAATAGTGCCCCATCATTGGTAGAGCAGTGGGAGGAATAGTGCCCCATCATTGGTATCAGTGGGAGGAATAGTGCCCGATCATTGGTATCAGTGGGAGGAATAGTGTCCTATCATTGGTATCAGTGGAGGAATAGTGCCCCATCATTGGTGTCCCTGGGAGGAATAATGCCCCATCATTGGTATCAGTGGGAGGAATAGTGCCCCATCATTGGTATCAGTGGAAGGAATAGTGCCCCCTCATTGGTATCAGTGGGAGGAATAGTGCCCCATCATTGGTATCAGTGGAAGGAATAGTGCCCCCTCATTGGTATCAGTGGGAGGAATAGTGCCCCATCATTTGTATCAGTGGGAGGAATATTAGTGCCCCATCATTGGTATCAGTGGGAGGAATAGTGCCCCATGATTGGTATCAGTGGGAGGAATAGTGTCCCATCATTGGTATTAGTGGGAGGAATAGTGCCCCATCATTGGTGTCAGTGGAAGGAATAGTGCCCCATCATTTGTATCAGTGGGAGGAATAGTGCCCCATCATTGGTATCAGTGGGAGGAATAGTGCCCCATGAATTGGTATCAGTGGGAGGAATAGTGTCCCATCATTGGTATTAGTGGGAGGAATAGTGCCCCCATCATTGGTGTCAGTGGAAGGAATAGTGCCCCATCATTGGTATCAGTGGGGGAGGAATAGTGCCCCATCATTGGTATCAGTGGGAGGAATAGTGCCCCATCATTTGTATCAGTAGGAGGAATAGTGCTCCATCGTTGGTATCAGTGGGAGGAATAGTGGCCCATCATTGGTATCAGTGGGGGGAATAGTGCCCCATCGTTTGGTATCAGTGAGAGGAATAGTGCCCCATCATTGGTATCAGTGGGGGGAATAGTGTCCCATCATTGGTATCAGTGGGAGGAATAGTGTCCCATCATTGGTATCAGTGGGAGGAATAGTGTCCCATCATTGTATCAGTGGGAAGAAGGTGCCCCATTGTCAGTATCAGTGGTAGGAACTATGCCACGCTGTTGCTAGCAGTGGGATGAATAATGCCCTGAGGCCAGACAAAAGCAAGTAAAGGGCTGCAGTTTGGAGACTACTGTTCTATAACATGGTATCATAATGGCCTGAAGGGTAAGTGTAAGAGACGCACAGGTGTGAATTCAGCCTAAAATGTCTTTATGGATAAATTCCCGATATCTCAAAATATACAGTATCATTTCTGAAAAATGACAAATTTTCCATAAATGTCTCCATTGAATGCCACCCCAAATGACCCTGCCCTGAGATTATGTCAGCAGTCTGCTGCAGGCAAGAGGAAAGCATTTCCTCAGTCTCCCCCGTGATCAGACTTTAACATTGCAACTTTGTAGAATGATAGACTGCAGCAGGGCTGGGTCTGTGTCAGATATTTGTAAACACAGTCAAAAAACTGCACAGGCACCAGAATTTTCTCACTATGTCATCTCTGTCCCAGTATCTCAGTCCTGGAATTAGATGGCGCCATCCCTTCTGGAGAGAAAAGCAGATGAAGACATTGTCAGAGGGGAGTACTGTGGTCACAGTTTTGTTTTTCTACACTCATTCTAGACGTGCTTTTGATGCGTTTTGCATTTTGTTCAACTCTTTTTTTTGTTGTTGTTGAAGTGGAATTTTTTTTTGTTGTTGCTGGCCAGAATAAAAATGCAAAACACAAAATGCGGCAAAAACACACTACCGTGCATTTCAGCAGCTTCTCCCTTGAACTTTATTGTAGCAAAAATGCTGCTTTTTGCTTTTAAAAAAGTCCCTGACCCTTTCCAAAAACGTAGCAGCTCAAAAAAAGCACAGGTGTGAACTTGTTCCATAGGAAACCATGTTAAATGGACTGTACTGCGTTTCTGCAAAAAGCACTAAAAAACGCATTGGTGTGAACGGAGCCTCACACTCACACCTTGCTTACCATGAACTAGTATGTGATCTACCAGTAGTGATCAGCCAGACATACCTGGGTTGGGTTCAGGTAGGGTTCTCCGGACATTACTAGGGTTTGGGTGGGGAATCTGAGCCCTGGTGAACGTATAGCACAGCATAAAAATATTCTTTTAAATTCTGTTTGGCAGGGAGCGGTGATTCTATTCATGCTTAATGTGAATCATTAAAATGATAAAACTCCATCAAATACCTAGGGGGTGCTCTGACCCTGCCTGTGAAGTGCAGCAATCTGAATGATGTATACAACCTACTAGAACAACAATCACAAAGAAATGGCCGACAAAATGACAGCTTCCAGCTGGGAAAATGACAGATTCCAACTGTTCAAAATAATCACTCCCAAATGATGAAGTAACAACTCCAGATGACAAAATGACAGCTCCCAGCCAGCACAAGGACAGCCCAGTCTCTGATGGGGGTGCTGCTTATGATGGAGTGCGCTTTGAATGAGTGCAGAGCAGTTAAACACAGCAGTTGAACTAAAGCAGGAGAACTTAAGCAGCAGGAAGACACAACAACAGCAAGAAACTCTACTGCATGCTGGACAGACTGCAAGGAAACACCCTGGGAAACATCTCTTGCATACCTGAGTCCCACTCCGTGTACCTATTTTATATAATACACCCCTCTTCTGCTCTTCATTTTACTATCCTCTGTTCACAAATCTCATTTCTTTACCCCTCTGCTCCACCCCAAAACTTGTACATCTC